TTGCTAAGCTCGCAGGAATTTCTCGAACTGAGCCTGGATAATGTCATCTTTGGGGAGATCAGAAGCCTGAACAGGCCTCCCCAGATGATTTTGAAGCTGAGTAACGAAGGGACGCAGCAAGACCTGGCCAATTTTGCCATAAAGGTCTGAGACAATGGAGTCGTTCCATTTTTTGGCCTCGGGATCCTTATCCAAGAGGGCCACCCCTGCCGATAGCCGACCAGCACCTTTGGGGAAACCCTTCAAGTACGCCCCAAAGGCGAACGGGATTTGGGCCCTTGCATGATCATCCTTGATGATGGAGAATTCATCAGAGGATTTAAACGTGTCCCGGACGGCGGACAGATCCACGTTCACTTCATAGGGACCGTCCCGGATGCTGGATGGCATTTCTTCGAATTTGACCTGTGCGGCCTCAGCAGCAAGGACCTTCGCCTGGGAAGCTGCGAGTTGGACCCGAAGGGTACCGAGCTCAGCATCCAGCCTCTGCTTTTCCTCCGCAAAGGCTTTCCGTTCGGCCTCCAGAGAGGCGATGGCGGCAGCAGCATGTTGCTCAGCAGAAGACTGGGCAACAATCAGTTCCCGCTCCTTGGCCAGGCGGGCCTCCCGCATCTGAAGGGTGTACAAACCCATCTACAGAGTACCGTTCGAGAGTTAGTACTGGTTACAGAGAATAAAATAAAGACAAAGCGCAAAAGACAATGTACCTTCAGAGCAGTCAGAGCCAGACATTCTTCAGATTGCTCGACCGGCAACTGAGGAAGGGAAAAGTTGTTGAACCAAGAGGAGGTCGACCAGATCTGGCTCGCGGTAGAGCCGGCCCTCTCTAATACCTCATGGACAGGGTCGGATAGGGAGATCCGCTCGACCTGACCCGTAATGTGGTCGGTATGTGTCTCACCAGCATTCGAGGGTTCCCCCCGAACGGAGTCGAAATGATGAGGAAATTGGTGCAGTTGGTCAGAGTCGAACCGGTCGTCAACCAGCATGGCCTCGAATTGGTCCAGGTGGACCTGCTGTATTGGCTGAGGCTCTGGAAGCGGTTCAGAACGGGCAGCATCCTGAGCGGGAATAATGGTGGGAGTGGGTTGGGGGTTCTTCCGGATTTTTTCCGCTTACCAGCCCCACCGGTTGCGATAACTCTGCTGTCATCCATAGGTAGATCTGGGTTTGGCGCTGAAAAAAGACAAAGGAGAATGTTAGTATCGAGCGGCCTTAGCGTGTGAGAAACTAGAAAAAGGAATAAAAGAACGTTTCTCGCACGGGAAGGACCGCCCGGACCATGGCACTTGGTTTCTCAAAACAAGTAAACCCAAGAGAATGGGCAGTACCTATCCCGGCCGTAATGAGTCGTTCGGGAGTCAGATAACTCATAATGTCCATGCATTTATCCTTCTCCACAGCAAGCACGTCCTTGTAAATTTCTTCAGTGAGGACAGGATCAAGAGTCTTGCGGGGGAAGGCATTCCATTTACGGGGAATTAGGCCGTCCGGGACAGACACGAAGAAAAAACGGTCTTTCCACCCTTTGATTGAAGTTGGGTTTCCTTTGAACAGGATGTGTCCCGTTCGGGCACTAGTGGCCAAATAACCGTGGGTTTGTTGGGGGCTACTTTGAAGAATTGATGGAAGAGTTCTAGGGTTGGTCAGGCGCCGGCATCTTTGCAACGACAAATGAAACCCGCCATTGCCCGATAGGAGTTCGACATAATATGGGTCGGTACAACTTCGTAGATATTGAAGAAAGAAATGAAAAAGGGGTGTAGCGGAAATCTAAGGCCGGCCCTAATTGAGTCAAAGTGGACTATGGTCATTCCGGGCCTATGACGCATTGGGTGAAGCCCAGCTTGCAAACGGAAATCCACCGGGTCAGGGATAAGGGCCGTAATTTCAGCCCTATTGTGAGAGGTCAATTTTTGCCGCCTCTCCCTAATCAATTTTAGGTCAAGGGTATGGCGAGGAACATCGTTGGGACGTCCGGCCGCCATGGAGGCTATTTCGTCCTCGGATTTGGTGTCGTCGGAATCCTCACTGGAGGAAGAAGAAGTGCTAGGGAGGTCCTCCGCCTCAGCCCTGGTATTCGTCGCCGTCTCAGTAGAAACACCGGCAAACGGAACTGTGATGACATCTACGATGGTGGCGTCACGGTCATCTCCATGAGAGGCCATCTCCGAATCAGAGGAATGCTCTTTGGGGCTCATCTCGATCAAAGCCAGAAATGAAGATAGGGAATCCGGAGTTGGGAAATTACCTGAGCAAAGGAAGCAGGGAGAAAATTGCAGAGGAAACAACGAAGGCCAAGGAATTGCAGAGTCGAAACCCGGAATTGAGAAGTTAAAGGCTAATTTATAGCCTTGAAAACCGCCGTGTCGAGAACCAATCAGAGAGCGACACGTCACTAGGAGCATTTAAGCTAAACACGTGTCTAATGAAAAGACTAAACGACGGTTATCATGATGAATATGGGGAAATGAAGCGGCAGCCGTCGAATCGCAGCATGGGGAACTGATTACTTCTGTACCCCGATCGACATTCGGGGTATTATAACATTGATATACTTCCTAATGCACTCACTTCGTTCGAGACATCGGAAGTGGGGGACTTGTGTTGGGATATTAACCTAGAGGCCCAATACCCAGATCGAGAAAGGCCCAAGATATCCGGCCCAAGCAACAGGCCCATCACTCTATGATGAATAGATCCAGTAAGAAGACATATCGAACGGAGTTCGGCCCAAATAAAGATTGGCCCAGTAAGAAGACATACCGAACGAGGTTCGGGCTATATATCATACTTGGGCCAATTTGACAGCATCTTCAGTGCAGCCCAACATCCCGTTCGAGCAACGGCCAACCAGCAAGTGGCCAGGTGCAATTAATGCCAGACTATGACATCAGCAAGTGGAAGCATGGATGACCAAGTCGGTGGAACAACGGCCAATCAGAAAGAGGCAGCCCATGCTCTCCATTAGTATAGATAGAAGGTTTCAAGTCATTGTAAGGGTTAGCATTTCAATACTCAAGCTATAGAATAGCATCATTTGCCCTTACTTCTTGTATTAAAGCATAATTTCCGACATACCGATCGGGAATTTCCTTGTAATCGGATTGATTAATTAATACAAGTGAGCTTTCGAGTTTTAGTTAGTTCAGATCTTATATTTTCATATACGCTTTGATTCTGGGTCATTCCTGATATATCCAAAGTTCGTGTTGGGCCTTCGGATCTACGGGATTTACCCTCAACACAATTGTTATCCAAACAGCCCCATAGTTAATTAACATTCTAAAATCTATATATTTATTATTGTTTTGTGTTTTTGATTGACATCCGATATCCTCGGTTACCCGAGACTAATCCGGAGCCTTGTGACCCTAGTCGGCAAAGGACCACAAGAAGGTAAACCAGCCTAGGTTGCCCGTAGATGTCCGGCTCATGGGGAGGTCACAATATTTATTATTGTTAATACTATTACTTGTTGATATTGTTACCTATATTACTTTTATTATTATATTATTATCGTTCTTATTGTTATATGTATTATTCTTCGAACTCAATATTTCGATATTCATATTTGCATTTGGTAAATATTCAAGTCAGAAATACTATTCTTTTTTGTATTCTTATTATAAGTATTATTCTTCTAATCCAGTACATTAATATTCATATTTATACATTTGGTAATTATTCCAATCTAAATTGCTATTCTTATTTGTAGAGTTTTTCGAATTCAAATAGTCATCAACTAGTGTTTTACTCTGCGTTGCCCCGAGGTGCATATTGAGGTTGTTAGAACTGTTTGAAAAATATATACCCATAGATATATAAGTAATATACTATTTCACCTCGTATACAAGTTTTTTTTACTATGAATGATATTTTAATCAAAGAGAAGCAATAAAATATTGATATTGTACAAAACATGTGAATTGTGTAACACCAGACACATAAGATACCACATTAACTGTCTTGGAGGAGAACCTATTTTCTTTTGAATGAATGAGTATCTTAAGACCTCTATACTCTTCACCGTTGATATTGCAACGTACAACTGACCTTGAGTGAAAATTTGAAGCTCAAGGTATAAACCGACTTGTGATAACTTTGACCTTGACTTTTATATATTAGCATCACAAAGCATACCATCATAGGAATTGCTTCCTCTGAAAATTAAATGACATTGTCATATCTGATGGAGACAATGGGATTTCCGGTATGTAAACCTTATCTCCCACAACTTTTCCAATAATTACTTGGGTTTCCATTGCATAATATGCATCTTGATCATTACTCCCTCCGTCCCCGTAACTTTGTCACGTTTTACCTTTTTCGGCCATCCCATTATGTTTGTCCCATACCATATTTGGTAATATTTGGATGGTTACCATTCATTCTTACTTTATTCACATTTTATCAATTTAATATCAACCACACAATTGCATTTTTTCTTAAAAGCTATATCACACCCTCTTGTCCTAAACATAGTGGGACGAAGGTAGTATTTCTCAAAAACATGATTAGTGCTACAATTTTTTAATGGAGAACATGCATGATTAGGCAACCCAGACATTGATGGGCTATTAACAAACTCAGTTGTATACATATCTGCATGGAAGGGATCTATGTTTGATGGGATAATACTTTCCAAAACAACATACTTCCCAACCTTAATCAGAAAATAGTATATGTGATATAAATGATTAACAAATTTTGTATTCATAAAATGGGAAAAGGGTCAGATAGGGTCTCGAACTTACATAAAAATGTCAAATACGGCCTTGTAAATGAAGCTCTGTCCGGCCATCGCCATTTGGGGCGGTTTCCGGTGGAATTTTTTGATGAAATTTTTTGAGCATATTATTCATTAAGTCTAGTTCACTCATACCAAATTTCAGTTAAAACTTCAATCGGGAAGGCATTCAAATTAATACTTGAAGATAACTGCGCTTTTAACTGCGTAGTTATCTTCTTAACAATTAATACCTTCTTAACAATACATAGAAAAACGCAGTTAACTTCAAGGAATTATTTGTCTGTCTTCCCGATCAAATTTTGAGCTGAAATTTGGTATGGATAAACTAGACTTGATGAGGAACATGCTCAAAAAATTTCATCAAAAAAATCCACCGGGAAGTGCCCCAAATGGCGATGTTCGGATGGTGTTTGGACCGGGGGCTGGTGGACAGGATCATTTATATATTTATATATATGGCTGACGTTATTTCTCTTTATTTTGCACAATTTCTGGATACACAATTTCCACTTTCTTAATCTGATACCAAGTTAAAGGAGAAGTTATATGTGGGACGAAGCTAGTAAGAAGTAAATATTCACCTGGCCTTGTTGCCTTCTTAGACCATGCAACTTCACTTTTACTACAGCATTCATGGCTGATGTGCATCAAAATAAGAATCCCAATTATGGCCTTTGAAACTTCCCGTGAACCCACACTCTCTTCATGGCCTTACCATTCCGGCGATTCAGTGACTTAACACAACAATACTCGAGCTCAATCTGTTAATTATACACCCGAAAAGAAATTGCTCAAAATAGGAGTTAAAAGTTAATTACACATTTCACTTTTATTGTCGTTAGTTAAAGTTTGCACATTAAGCAATGCATCCAAATTTAGCAAATTTTCTCATAAGCTCAACCTACTATTAAAATGCATTCCACAAAACTTTGTTTTAAAACATTACTCCTATCTTAAAATCTTCTTCAAGCCACCAAGGTTTATGTGTTTCACTCAGACTAAAATTTTATGGTCTGGTATGATATGGGTTGGTCTAATCTGAACTGGTTTGGTGGATGTCTGATCTATGTATTTTATAACCATCGAAGTTTGGTCTGGTTTGTATAATTCTAGTCTCGGTATGAAACCATTCCAAGTAAAGACATCCTAAGTTAATTGATTGTAACACGATAAGTTTATTAAATAAAGTTTAAACATCCAAAAGAATATTAAAAATGCTAATTTTTCTTTTCTTATATGCTTAAAATGCATTTCACATTTCTCAATTAAACAAAATAAAGTTTAGAGTAAGCTTATTAAAAGAGAACGGATGTGACATGAAAATAAAGAGGTAGTTTAAATTTATGATAAAATTCATTACATTTTGATGTACTGTCTATAATTAACTTAAATACAAGGGCAATTTACTAATATGGAACTTGAAAAAAAAATAGTCTATGATTAAAACAAATTAATAGCACAGGGATACTACATAGAGAGTATAATTATGACAGAGTATAACTAATCTTGTGAAAGGGAGTATAATTAATCACATGTGCAAAAAAAATCTGCCAAAAATTGAAAAAGGTAAGGTGAAATGGAAAAGTTGGCATTCATTAGGTGGTGAAAAATCCCATTTTAATACAGTATATGATACCTAACAATGTAACTTATTAATGTAAATTTTCCATCGAGTATTCGAGTCAATAAAGTTTTACCTTGATGAAGCCTACACTGCAAAATAAATCCCTGACGCTGTCCAGACAGAAGAAATAAGACCGTGTTCCATCAGACCGTAAATATTCCCTGAATCCTACTCTTTGTTCTTGCTCAAACCGGAGCATGGTCATATCATAGAGGCCTGGATCCATATCACTTCAAATTTCTTCAGAATTTCCAAGAAAACTAACAAACTTTTAGTTTGGATCAAGGAAAATGCTAGGGAGGAGGAAAATAATATCAAGAAAAGTTCTGTTTATTATGTTTGGTTTTTTGTCTTAAAAAACACAACGATATTATATATGATTAGCTTTTAATTTTCAGATATATTTCAATTTTTAAATATTTTTATAATACACATAAATAAATATAATGAGTATCAAGTATTTAGAATACACTAAGAGTTTCTTAGACTGTCTTTTATTTTCCCTAACATTTCTGTCCTTTCAACTTTCCTGTAAGTGTTTCTTCCTATTTTTTATCCCAAGTATTTCCCTAGTTCCAAACGGACGCTTAGAAAGCATTTATTCTTCAATATGTCAGACAATTACCATAATCCCTGAATAACAGCAAACCTCCCGGTCTCAAAGCATAAAAACACTCACGGATTGCCATTCGCATCCTATGTATTGGCAAGGCCGATAAAGTAAATATCTGCATGTTAGCATGTAGATAGAAATATTCAAATAACTTGCACTTCCATTAGGGTCTGTTTGAATGGACGGTTTTGGAGGGGAACGATTTGGAGATGTTAGCCTATATCTTGATATTTAATTAGTATATTAATGAGTTGAAAGATTAACATAATATGCAATCGTATATAGCATTTTAATTATCTTTTATTTGTTTCTATCTATAAATATTTCATTCATCGAGTTATAGACTAAGCCCTTCAAAGTCCTTCATCCAAATCCCTCTAAGACCTTCATATAAACAGACCCTTATGTTGCTCTCTCTTAATTGAAATGTCAACTGAAATTACACATACTAAGGTAAGAAAATCTACACCACCAACGCAACAAGAATTTCCCACCAAGCACCACGGATCCAGGGAAAATCTCTTGATGACATTATTTGAATCTGCACAAGAAAAAAGTGTAAAAATGATTATGGACCCCTTCTTTTAGTAAAAGTGTAAAAATCTCTTGGATTGACAGTATTGGGGGTGTTTGGAAGGGAAGTCTTGGGAAGCTTAGTCTTTGTCTTGATCTATATTTGAGATCTCATATGTGATCATATTACACTTCAATAACCTTTCATCCATTTTGTTAGAGTCACAGGAAGCCAGCATCTTAATAATAATAATAGTGTTAGCTATTACTCCCTCCGTTCCTTAAAACTTTGCCATCTTTCCTTTTTGGGACGTCCCAAAAAACTTTGTCACTTTCCCTTTTAATCAATTATTTGTGGTTTCTCTTATTTCTCTCTCCTCTGCACAAATCTCAACCACACAGTTTTTACTTTATTATTCTCCGTGCCGGTCAACTTTGGCAAAGTTTTAAGGGACGGAGGTAGTATGACAAAGTGTATTCTAGAAGAAATCATAAGTAGCTGGGAGTTGTATTTGGGGGTCTGAAGGGGACTAGTATAAATAGATAGCTACTGTAGAAATAAGGCAGGCTGTTATTTGGTAGTTGGCTGGGACTGGAGAGTTGACATCTCTTTAACTGTCAAGGCACTTTCTCTCTCTTTTCGGTTGATCGAATAAACATCCCCTACTCACTGTTCATCTACGTTCCTACTTTCTTGTTAGAATTCTCTCTGAATTTAGCTAGACACTTAACACATTTTCAGAATTTTTTTTATAGAATTATAGATATGTACACTGAGCCCTTTAAATGTTCCCTGGGAAACCCCTCATCAAAACACTCTTAATGGAGCATGTATATATCCCAAATGAATACTCTAATCCTTTCAAAAGTTTTTTTTTCAGAACAACATTAGATATCAAAGAATAATGCAAAAAGTGTGCTCCTAGTCCTTTTATCTTTTTATCTTCGTATCTTTGTTATCTTTTTTAGCTCCGATTTCATGTGTAGATTCATGTTAGCCGACCCCAAACTCTTTTGGGACTAAGGCTTGGATGTGGTTGTTGTATTGCAAAAAACGTACTCTGTAGGACTATACCTGAATGACCCTTAACTAATAGCCTTCTTGGAACTGTTAGAATTTACATTAATTGAGAATCAAAATGAAAAAAGGGTAAAAATGAAAACTGGTACTAAATGCTCTTGGGGTTTATAAAATGACAGATATTGTGACATAAAACTTTAAACCAAACAACAGTTATTATGAAAAAGAGAGAGTAATTGATAATAACTCATGCACATTTTTTCAAAGGGAAAATAAATTAAATACCCCCAACTTTAATGGGCTGTGAAATAAATACCCCAAACTTGCATTTGTAATATATATACCCCGAAGTTTATATAAAAAGTTATTTTCGCACCATGCTTGTATGTTTTTTTAAAATACAAATTTATTGGAATAATTACATAATATAAAATACTCTAAGCTTTGTTGGAATGCAATTAACATTCGAAAATTTCATTTGTGAAATAAATAATGTTACATTTGGTACAATTTAATTTCAATTGCATCCTCATAAAGGTTTGTGTATTTTAAATTATGCACTTAATAACATAAAATTATATTTGTGAAAAAGTATATGATCATGGTGCTAATATAACTTTTTTTATAAAGTTTGGGGTATATATTACATGTGTAAGTTTGGGGTATTTATGTCACACCCTTTCAAAGTTTGGGATATTTAAATTATTTTCCCCTTTTTTCAAATGATCCAAAAGAAGAACCTGAGGACCAATCACATTGTTTGGGTAAGGAATTTTCCCGGCAAGAATTACAGATCAGCCATTGAGGAAAATTGCTTGAAGAGATATCACATTGGAAGAGGTTGAAGCGATGTTTGGCCGATGCCAAATTAGCAGCACTGATATTCTCCTTGGTCCTCTCAACTGCTTCACAGCTACAGTCACATGCAAAAATAAATATGTTCTCGTTTCCACTGCAATATGTCAATAAGGTTTCAGAGAAACATATCATTCACAGCTCAATACGTACAGGTACAAATGTATAGAGCCTGAAATCTCTCAATACACTGTATGGTCAAACAGCTGAACACTCGAGCATTGTTTTAGAAGTATAGTGCCCGTTTGTTTCCAAGAAAATATTTTTCAAGAAAATGTTTCCTGGATTTTCCCGTGATTGACAATGCAGAATATTTTTCCAAGTTAATTGAAGTTTGCAGGAAAATGACTACCTGCTTTGTGAAACAGTTTCATGGTTTCTATTTGTGTCGGTAAAACAATATATCATACATAGAAAAACTTATTTCTGAGAGAAAAAATTAGGCAGAAAACGTTTTCCAAGAAATTTATTTTCTAGCAATCAAACGGAACCTTCTAGCATCAGGATTCAGGACAAAGCAAATTTTAAACTAAACTAAACCTTTTGTACTACCGTAAAATTGGGAGAACAGTACTGCCATTCCCACACCCCACTTCCAAGCCTATAGAGTACTTATTGCAAGAGGCTAGCTCAGGAAATTCTTTGAGCAAATAACGCCTCTCCTGCGTTGAGGATAAACTCGAAGTTAAAACTAAAGAAAATAATTCAGAAAAACTACATAAGAAATGAAAAAAAAGTAGCCAACAGATTTTCTTGGATCAAGTTCATACAAGGGAACCCTATTCGGCATCACTGAAGCAAAGACAGATTTTCAAACAAAATGAAATTGGTAAACAAGTGGTTGAAATGTCAAACCCGTGTGCTATACAAATTTAGCACTCATATGTTATCAGGATAGAATTGCAGTTGGTAAGCTCATATTAAACTCATATTTAAGGATTTTTCACTAATCTCAAAACACAAATGATCCCCATGAGGCATTTTTCTTCCAATTATCTCAAAAAAAATCACAGTGCTAGAATATGCATTGGGCATAAGTGTCGGTTTGGTAACGCCTAATCTATTTTATTTCAATCTTTATCCGTTAAATCAGTTAATTTTTTCACAGAACATTAACTAACTATATAAGCCAGTAATATAAGACAATTACTCCTCCGTCCCTCTATCTTTGTCCTATTTTATCTTTTTCGTTTGTCCTATTAAGTTTGTCTCATACAAGTAATATTTGAATGGTTACAAATCATTCTTACACACTTTATAACTTCAATACTAACCACACAATTCCACTTTTCTTAATAACTGAACCACTGCCTCTTGTCCCGATCTTAGGGGATGAGGTAGTATCAATTTTTTTTGATGAATGTGCTTAATTAAATAAAAATGAAAATCTCACTCAATCTTTCAAATGCATGTTTTGATAACCAAGCTCATTCAGAAAACTCAGTCATTATTTTGGCTACAATCACTTCAAATTCATACAATTTAGCCCACCAAACTAGGCCTCACTAGAAAAGAAGATAAAGCAATGCAAATTAGAGACTACCCATTTCAAATCAGGCGCCATAAAATCTGGAAAAGAAGTTTAAACCCAACTCTAAATTTTATATCTTGACAGAAGATGATACAATTATATAAAAGCTTCGAGACCTTAAAAAATCTTCCAGTGGAGTGGCGGGTATGGAACTTATTCCAAGCTTCAGAATCTTCTTTCGGCAAAGAAGAGGAGTGACAAAAAGCAGCAGCATCAAGATCCTGGGCTCCAATGGCGGGGTTAGCGTAAGGCGCCCAGTGATAGAGAAGAGACGGATCGTTCTCAACGTCGTGCTTTAGCTCCTCCCACTCGAAATCCTTGGAATAGTAATTATCTGCTGCCATTCTGTTCTTTACGATTTCTATGGAAAGCGGAATTCAAGTTCATGTAGTGCTTAGAGCAACCCCAAGGTTGCCATAGCACAAAGTTTTCGGGAAAAAGAAAAAAGAAATGTCCATCCAACGGAAGGGAGTATGTCCAGTCCAATTTGCACAAAGTTTAGGCTGCATCTCTGCCTGGTAGTTTTTTTTGTACTCCGTATTATTTAAAAAGTCTCTAAAAACTTCTAGTTATATGTTTGTCACGACAAATTTAAGAATTTTCCAAAAAATAATTTTACAGCTTGTATATCAAACAGAACTAAATCAAACAGTCAGCTTTTTACCAAACAGTTACTTCCTTTTTTTTAAGATCTTTTCGGTCACTAAAAGCTAACAGTTACTAAAAAGCTTTCATAATTGTGTCAAACATACCCATAGTGTGCCAAATCATTAAAATTAGACTTTGTCTTTCTATTCATCCCTCCAATGCTTGCAGTCTTTTGATGACATGGCAAAAAAACTTAAACACTGTCAAGGCTAAAGTCCGAGTGTAGAATCAATTCGTATATCGTGGGATCATCCCATGGTGAGCACCATGCTTCACATCCAAAACGGTGTAGTTTTAATCAATTTAAAAAAAATCACGTGAACAGTACACACGTGTACATTATTTATTTATTTTTTCATCCCATCAGCATGAACGATGTAACTTGTGCACAATTAGATGTAACACGTCTTGCTACAAATGTAACTTCAGTTAACAACAAATGTAACTTGTGTCCTGAAATGTAACTCATGTGTAATGAAAAAAAGGAGTCTAATTGTTCAATTATTTTACATAAATAGTGCATATTTTTGTTTTTAATATTAGGTCCATTAAAAATGATTTTTAATAAGAAAATCATTGTTGATTGAATAAGAGAGGTTTATTTTGTTGTATAACTCGCATTGTTTTGTGGTGTAACTCGCAGTATGTCAAATGTAAATCAAATATAATCAAGATGTAACTTACTGAGAAAAATTAAAATGTAAATCGCGTGTTACAAAATGTAACTTTAGTCAAAACGAAATGTAATCCCATGAAATGTAACTCTATAAATATCAGCAAAGCAAACAAATAGCAAACTAATTAATAAATAAATGTTTGTTCTAATATGAATACCCAAAGCCCATCAATTAGATTGATTTGTTCCAATATCACGTTTACTCAGTAAATGATATACCAAAGCATCAAAATTGAATCAACAGATAGCAAACGTTTAACATCTCCGTATAAATTTTGATTTTTCGATGGGGGTTTCCCGATCTCTAGCGATCTCTGTATACATAGAACAAAAAAGGAACCAGTGCTCTAGACTCGATGCTCTGTGATAGCTATTTGGCCTTTTCTCTTTACCTCGCAAACCAAAGCTAGTAATTGGGAAGTGGGAAAGGAAGGGGCTCGCCATCGCTGGAAAATAAGAACAACGTGTTGCTCCATTTTTTAAGTGCAAAACGATATCGTATGGGGATCGGCACACCATGTGCATCATGGGTCGGGCCGATCCCACAGTATAATTTACCGTGTATAGTAGAATGTCGTCCACACTTGCTGACTAGACAAAAAGTAGGTGCGGCTTCACCAAAGAATTAGGGAGAAATTGAAAACTGAAAAATTACGTGAAAATTTTATGGGAAGCTCTCCAGTGCATCCACCTTGTGGAATGTTTTGGTGCATCCACCATGTGGCAGGATCTTATTGGAAACATATTCCAAGTAAGGCATACAACTAAAAAAATTAAAAAATTGCATAGTGAACCTGGAACAGTTAACAAAATCTTCTAGTCCTCCATTCATATCATCCACACGTCATTTTCTTCTCCCAATTTTCTTTCGAATGAAAAAGGAACAAGAACTTCAAGTCTTCAAATCAATGTCAATGGACCCAAGAACCAAATTCTAGTGGTATTGGCGTGGATATTTGAGTTTCCACGCGGTGGAATTCGCGAGGGGATTTGCTGAGATAAGTGGCGAGTTTGGGAAGGGGTGAAGGATGCCGTTATGCAGACGGTGGTGTATGAGGCCTCTATGATCGCGAAGAAGCTTGGAGGGTGTGCCAGAAAATTTCCAGAAAACCGATATTTCTCAACTACTATTGTCGGAAGATAGAGATCCAGTTCATTCATGGAGTGATTTTCTTCATTGCAATAATTGCTTTTGCAGGTACTCCTATTTTTTTATTGAGCAGGCCTTAAATGTTAAATACTCAAGTTTAGTTAGAGATGCACTTGATAGCTTGCTCAGCAGTTTTACAATAAATAATCCCTCCATTTATGGTCATCCAATTGTGTATGTAGTGTGGTTGTACCGGGTTCTTGTAATTGTTATACTCCGTATTATTCATTAGCAGTTCTGGTCACTGCCGTATCAGAATTGTTAATTCAATCTGCCATTATCATTTCAGAGCTAAGTGGGAACATCAAACATGTAAATGTACTCAAAAAAGGAAGCTGATGATGGTCTAACCTTGTAAACTTAAGTTTCATTGTATGAAGGTAAGGAACTAAGCTAAGGTACACTGAATTCCCAATCGGGAAAATATAATCCATATAATAATCCCAAGTATATGAGAGTCAGTATAAATGCAGTTATGTATACATATAATGGAAAGAAAATATGATGGAAAGAAAACCATCCTTAGTTAGACCTTCAAAAGCATTTTCATAAAAATGATCGTTGGGTGGTGATAGATTTTCAAAGTTGTTACTGTCTCAGTGGCTCCATGTGTTACTGAGAATTGCTTAATAACATTCATTATTTTTGTAGTAAGAGTTTTGAAGTATTTATCTCTCTGGTTCTGCATAACTCCCACTTCCCATTGTACATTTTATTGAAACCTACAAACAATAAAAACAAAATTTGAATATAAAAAATGGACAGATAGCTTAGCATTGAGCTTGAGTTGTTTTACTAGAGCCTGTTTGTACTTTGTTCCTTCTTTTAAGGTCAGTTTCTGGAACAAAATGTGGCAAAGCAAGCGGAACTATTATATATAAACATGCTAAATTCAATTTTCTGTGTGACTATTTAGGGCCATGGCTCATAGACTATTAAGAGATGCTGAAGCTGATGGATTTTGGAGGGGGTGGGTGTGTATGTACTACTAAAGTAGTTAGCCTTTCATTACATTCCCTTTCTTTCAATGTGCAATTTGTTTTCTTTCTGCTTTGTTGATTTTGTTTGTAGCAAAGGCTTTTTTGTACCTTCTAGTTATCTGCCCAAGGGGTTCGAGCTTTAGCTTAACGATTATGTCTGAAATTCATAGATGAGCTATATACATGTATGGCGTTCTAGGAACTCTAGGAAAAGGAGGGGAAATGAAGTTATGACCTAGAAACTCTAGGAATTAAATTGTTGGTTTATGGGTGCCATTTCAATTCTTTTTAATTTCAATATGGAATGATGAGCTCTCAATGTAGAATAGCGCCTTGGAGCTTTTCAATCTGGAATGGTGTCACTGGAGTATTTCAATTTCTATGTTATTTTACATTTCAATTTGTTTTTTAATAATTAATCTGAAATGGTGTTCTGGATCTTTTCTATGATTAAGATTTTCTCCAATCGATAATACTTGCTCTTTCAATCTGGAATGTTGTCTTGGAGCCTTTTTACTTTCATTATCACTTTGGCAATACATGAAATTTACCATTTCATTAGTAGCATTTGTTGATGATTTTAATACAATTTCAATTAATTAGATTTACCATCTAATTAATGTGCGAAATAGAATGTGTATATGGTGTCAGTGCTCTTTATGGAATTGTCTTGGCATATTAACAAATTTAGTCTATTAGCTCAAATGGTAGAGCGGTGTGTTATATAAACACAAAAGTGTGGGTTCGAATCCCACATAGGCTACTATTCAAATCTTAACCGGAAAGTTACTTGAGTTGCCTGGAATGTTTAACTTCAAAATCACTAACTTATTTATGGAAAATTTAGCTTTGAAACTTCTAAATCTGTTATGAGCTGCATTGCAGTACATTTCCTTATTGTACTAAAGGTAGATATACGGTAGAAAAGGCATATATTATGCTAGAAAGAATTCATATGGTATGTAAGTAAAATTTGATAAACTGTAAAGGAGCTCAAGGGAAGGAAGAAGATGGTCTTCCATGTCAGAGAAATGAAAGATGATTGAACTCCAAATCGTAAGAGCATAAGCTTAAACAAGTGTATTAGAAGTATATTCATTCCATTGACTATTACACTTCAATAACTCTTTGAGTAATGCTTTTTTTATTTCAAAAACTACTTTGATGAGTTATAGTTAAAGAAAACTACAAGGTTCAACAAAGGAGCCTAAGGTTTTGAAATCAGATTTGTCTAAATTAAGAACCATCTATCATGTCAGGCAGCATTTTAACAGAACCAATTAAAAAGGAACCTCCTGGATTTTCATTTCACGTTACTACTTTTTGCTGCATTTTTTCATTTTGAGTTTGAAATGATTCTCTTCCTATGTAACATTTGCTTAAGTTTAAGTCAAAAAAAGGAACTCGCAGCGTTTTTAGGTTGCATTTTGACTTTCAAATTTAGGACTACATCCAAATCAGAAAAGTCATTAACATGATTAGTACAAGTATGTGTCATTGTGTCAATACTGAAAACCAACCTAATTGGGCCCTTAAGGACTTAAGGTGTATGCCTTGTATTTTCACAGTGATCTTATAAGAAACAGAGAAGAAAAAGAGCAGCACTCACCTTAAGGCAAAAGTTACATTTTGAGTTGGGATCATTTTGATTCATAAACTAATAATCTAAAGGTTACATTTTTTGTTAAGATCCTAAGTGCAGCCTATGTGGGATTCGAACCCACATTTATGTGTTTATATCACATCGCTCTACCATTTGAGCTAATAAGCTAAAAATTACTATTGGAGTTATTTTAATATTCAGTTACATACAAATATAGTAAATCATGGACAACAACTGGACAACCCTACAAGAAAGAGCAAAAGATATAAAATGTAGCATGAAAAGAACAACAAAGTAATGTCCATGAAGTAAGAATAGTAAACTGATATATCATGATCAGAATGCCAAAACACTTCCATAAAGAGCACAACATTTACCTTGAACACAAGCGAGTAGAAAT